CCCCCCCCGAAATTTCTTTCTCATCTTAAAATTTATTTATTTGTCAAACACTTAAATAATATGTCTATTATCTATAGACTATGGTCTTTAATTTTTAATCATGTCTTTAATAAACAACTAGACGACTCTAAATTATCACTGTAGTATAAAATCGAGAAAGCATAGCTGCAGTGTTATTGATGTTTTCATCTGAAGTGCGGGACGTTATGAAACGTTCTATTTAGAACGGTTCTAAATAGTGTTATCACTTATCAGTTATCACTAATTTTATCGTAGGTACTAGGTAGTAGTGGTAGCACATAATAAAGTGGTAGTACGAATAATAATCAATTATCAAATCAACCAACGGTTTCTTGATGTTCTTTCTCGTGTAGTTTGGTGTTCAGGATTCAGGCATTCAGCCACAATTTATAAAAAAAATGAGTGCTAAACGAAAAAATACCTCAATATTGAGTTTTTTTTTCAAAAAAAACCAAACCATCTGCTGATACTTTAGAATCAAATAGTGACCCATCACCTTTACCACAAAGTGAGACTATAGAGTCACAAAACCTAATTTTGGTAAGTACCTACTGGCTACTCGAACACAAATTTTAAAATACTAATTTTCACTTAATATTTAGTAGGTACATTGTACATAGGTAAATTCAGAAATATAAATATTACAATTACAAATATCTTTTTAAGTTATTTGTTTAGAAAATATGTGTAAAAACTTAATCAATAATCAACTGTCAAAAAGGCGTTTGTGAGTTTATGTTTTAAAAATTATCATTAACTATGACTAAGGTCCAAATCATCTATGATGGTAAGATTAGCATGGCTGCATGGGTTTTTAAAATATTTTATAAAATAAAAATTAACTAAGTAAATAAATAAGCTGCTTTGTAATGCAGTTTAAGTATACCTATAGCTATTTTAATGCTTCCTTTTTTGTAATATACTGTTCTAATGTTTTTCTTATTACCTTAATTTCAATTGAATCATTTGAATGATTTTATCTTAGTTATTTATTATTGCTAATTTCCTAATTGCTTATTAATCCTAATTTTTAGGAAAATGTTGAAGAAGTAAAAATTCACTCTTCAAAAACACTGCTTAGTAAATGTGTTAGAAATGATGTATCATGTTATGTTGGAAAAACAGTAAGTTGATACTTATTGACATTTAAACTCTTGTAGCTGTATTTGGTGTATTCATATTAGTATCAAACACGAATACTTGAAATAAATTAACTTCATTGGCACTTAGGTTAAATTTAAAAAAATAATAAGTTGAACTACCAATATTTTAGTCTTAAATTGTAATTTAAAGGTTATCATAAAATACATAAATTAGATGTGACATTTATTCTAGGTATCAATGTCAAATGATGAAAAACTTGACATTTTGGATCATTTATGGATACCTAATGTAAGCTACAACTTCCCAAAATCTGGTAAAAGAAATTTGAAATTTCAACACAGCTGGTTGTATGAATTCAAATGGTTGGCTTACTCTGACATTGAAGATGGTGCTTATTGTAAAATTTGTATTTTTTTTCCTTCTCCTAATATATGTGTAGGTAAGGGATCACACGAAGCTACTGGTCGCTTGGTTTTGGATAAATATGACCACTGGAAAAATGCTAAAGAAGATTTTAAAAAACATGAAAAAACCGACTATCACAAGTTTAATCAGTTACAAGAAAAAAATGTCCTATCTATAAAAGAAAAAAAAACCATATCTATAGATCTGCAGTTAAATGAAGCCAAAAAAAAAGAAGTTTTGGAAAATCGTAAAAAAATACTTCCAATTATAAAAACTGTATTATTATGTGGGCGACAAGGACTGGCTTTGAGAGGGCATTTTGATCATGGTCTTAAATCTTTACAAACTAAAGTTGATAATTCAAATAAAGATGATAAAACACTAAATGAAGGTAATTTTCGTGCTCTTTTGAAGTTTAGAATTGATGCAGGTGATTGCGATTTGGAAAACCATCTAAATACTGCTTCCAAAAATGCTACTTACATTAGTCCTAGAGTACAGAATGAAATAATATCAAGTTGTAACAATATTATTCTAAAAAAATTAGTGGACCAAATTAATAATGCTGAATGTTTTGCTTTATTAGCAGACGAAACAATGGATGTATCTACAAAGGAACAACTTTCAATTTGTATAAGATATTTTGATGATGGTGAAAAAAAGATAAGAGAAGACTTTCTTCAATTTGTACAAGTTAATGATGTCAGTGGTAAAGGTCTTGCTGATACTATTTTAGAAAGTATCTCAAGTTTTGGTATAAACCCCAAATTTATGATCGGCCAAGGTTACGACGGAGCTGCTGCTATGAGCGGACAGTTTAAAGGTGTACAAACTAGAATTCGTGAAATTTATCCACTAGCTTATTACATCCATTGTAGCGCTCATTGCCTGAATTTGGTAATTTCTGATTCTTGTAATATCCCGGAAATTCGTAATACGATAGGTACCATGCAATCAATTTGTAATTTTTTTGGATACCCAAAACGACTTGAGGTGCTTCAAAGATGTATTAAAGATTTGTTTCCTAGTTCTAAAGCTAGCAGGTTAAAACAAATGTGTCCAACGCGTTGGGTACAGCGCCACGATGCTGTTATTTTATATGAAGAGATGCAGCTCGCTGTAGTCAGTGCGTTAGAAATATTATCTAATAATTCAAGTACTGGATTTATTGAAGAATATTCTTGGATTTCTAGTAATATATCATCTCAGGCAGATCAATTATTATGTGCTATTGAAAAATTACAATTTCAAGTTTCTCTTTACGTTTTAACTAAAGTCCTATCTATTAGTGTTGGTTTGAGTCGTAGTTTGCAACTAGAAAATTCAGATTTAAAAACTGCATTAGATGCTGCTTCATGTGTTGAGAATTTAATTGAACAACTTCGTATTAACAGTGAAAATGAATTTATGAAATTATTTGAAACTGTTAAGAAAACTTGTGAACAAATTGGTATTTCTGATTTTTCACTTCCAAGAAAAATTAATCGCCAAAAAACTAGGAATAATGTTCCAGCTGAAAATGTTGAGCAGCATTTTTTACGGTCAATTTTTATACCATTTCTCGACACATTTTTGCTCCAGCTTCGTGAAAGACTCACATCACATAATACTATTCTAAAAAACTTTTCCTGTTTGATTCCTAAAACAAAAAACCCATCAAAAGAACAAGAAAAAAGTTTTATCGATCTTCATGAAACGTATTCATCTTTTATTAATAAAAGTAAATTAATGACTGCTGAAGAATTCAAATTATGGTATACATTTGTGGAACAAAATGAAATGAATCCAAAAAGTCCTATAGATGCTCTTATTACATGTGATAAAATATTATTTCCAACTATTTATTTATTGTTAAAAATATTAGTAACATTGCCCATTACTACATCATCTGCAGAAAGATCTTTCTCTACATTACGTCGCTTAAAAACATATCTCCGTAATACAATAAGTGAGTCGCGATTAAATGGGTTAGCGTTACTAAACATCCATACAGATATAAGTGTATTACCTGAAGAGGTTCTAAATCACTTGGTTAAATATTCTAATCGTAGATTAAATTTAAGACTGAATCTATAATTTATTATAAATAAATATAATTCATGAATATATTGTTCACTTATTTTATTATTTTGTTTATAGTATATAATATTTTAATATTTTATAAATACTAATTAATAATTATTATCTAATGTTTTATATCATTTTAAGAATTTCGATGATTAAATACATAAATAGGAATTTATTTTAAAAGAATTATTATGTGTTATATAATGTTGGTTATATTTATCAGTTTAGCTATATATTGGGGGGTGTGGGGGGCGAAGCCCCCCACGAGTCACTGATCAACATATATTGAAAACCCTTACCGAACTAAAATCCTGCGTACGCCACTGCTCTCTAGACCTTCACGTATGCAACATTGGTGACAGTCCAACATTCGTACGAGGCGCATCCGAATCATTCATCGACGTGACCTTTGCATCTCGGGCGCTATGCCAGAAAGTATCAAACTGGCGGGTACTGGATGTGGACTCGCTGAGTCTACACCAATACATAACCTTTGACATCTCCCGGATAACCGCCAGTGTATCCCAACCACCACCTACAGGGTGGAGTTGGCGTAAACTGGATGGGGAAAAGTTGGACGCGTTTCTGGACTCTAGGCCTACGACGGGATTCGGCTCCATGGACTGTGATAACTCTCATGTTATCAAAAAGCTGTGACGGGTCAACCGTTTAAGAGGTTAGAATACTATTAGTAATAACATGATTTTAAAAGTACACTACGTTGTTATAAATAATAAAAGTTTTACTGTAAAAGTGCAATTTAAATAGTTTTAGTTTATTCTCAATAATAATAAATACATCCAGGAGTCATATGTAATAAAACATGGCGCAGTCGTAGAAGAATACTATAACAAAACCACGATTGAAACGGATAAAGACAAAATGGAGTACCGTACACCTCATGAATTATCCTTTAGTGGTAATGTTGCACAAAACTGGAAAGAGTGGTATCAACAATTGAATATTTATTTAATAGCATCTAATAAAGATGAAGAGAATGACTTAAGAAAAATTAATATCTTATTGAATTTAATTGGTCCACAAGGAGTTAAGATTTATAATAACTTTAAAAAGAAAGAAAAAACTAATTTTGACACGGTAGTTCAAGCATTCAACCAATACTGTGAACCAAGAAAGAATATAATATTTCAAAGATATAAGTTTGGATGTTGTATAAACATGAGGGCCAAAGCTTTGATGATTTTCTCACTGAATTAAAAACACTAGCTGCTACTTGTGAATACAAAGAAGAGGATAACATGATACGAGACAGAATAGTGTTTGGCGTTAAAGATCCAGAAATCAAAGACAAGCTACTAACTATAAGTAATCTGACGATGGACAAGGCGGAGGAAATATGTAAAACCACAGAGGCAACTAAACAAGAACTGCAAGAAATGGCAACATCAACAGAAGTACATATGGTAAAAATGAAGAGTACAGTTAATGATAAAGGTAAGAATTTAACTAAGACTAATAATAATAAATATGTTAAAAATAAAAATGTAAAGGGAGTATATAAGAAAAGTGACGGTGATAAAAATAATGAGTATAACTGAAGTGTGGTAGGAAACATAAACCTAGAGAGTGTTTTGCATTTGGTAAAATGTGTGGTATATGTAAAAAAATGAACCATTTTGCTGTAGGATGTAAGAACAAAAACAAAGAAGAGAAAAAAGAGGTCCATGAAACGCATTATGGTGAGGAGGAGATGTTTCAAATCGATACAATATATAATGTGCATCAGATTAATAGTAGTTGGACAAAAACATTAAGAGTGATTAATAAGAATATAACATTTAAATTAGATTCAGGAAGTGACGTTAACATTATTCCGTGGGAACATTTCAAGGAAATTAAACCACAACCACAATTAAAATCTAATAAATGTAATGTTGAGTCGTATGGAGGTCATAAGATAGAGAACCTAGGAAAATGTCAAATAAAATGTATGATAAGTCCTGAATGTATAGATAATGTTGAGTTTTTGATATTAAAACCGAGTCAACTGCATAAGTGTAAAAATATTATTCCTATATTAGGTTTAGAATCATGTGTAAAATATGATTTGATAAAAAGAGTTGACATGATATGTTCAGAAAAGGAATTATTCATAAAAAATAATCTTGATGTTTTTACTGGACTTGGTAAGTTCCCTGAATTGTATGAAATTCAGCTTAAAGATAACGCTGAACCACAACCAGCACCTTATAGGAGAGTACCACATACAGTAGTAGATAGGTTAAAAATTAAGTTAAAAGAATTATTAGAAAAAGGTATTGTGTCTTATGTTGACAAGCCAACTGACTGGTTAAACAACATAGTTATTATTGAAAAGCCAGACAAAAGTCTAAGATTGTGTCTAGACCCTCAACATTTAAACAAAAATATTGTAGAAGAAAATTATCCCATTCCAACGTTAGATGAAATAACTCCAAGGTTATTAAATAAAAATTTTTATACAGTTCTGGATCTTAATCCAGGTACATCAAGAAAATACTGATCACCAAGGAGGAGGAGGAGTTTCAAAGACACACCAACGCACCGTAGTACGTGACTACTAAGGCGGCGGGCTGGTTAGCCGGCCTGCGAAAAGGATAACCATGACCCAAACGAACTAAATATGTGACTGTAAGCTAGGTAGCTAATAAAACTTGTACTGTATATACCGCAATTGTAAACCGCAGCTTTGTAACATGCGACAAGCGAATGATGTTAATATTAAATTTGTAAGTGTAATTATTTTAAATAAATAAACGATGGCGGACCGGCGGGAATGCAGAGCAGAGGCAGTACTCCCCCGGTTCGACGATACCAAGATAAAAAAAAAAAAAAAAGTAGTAGTAGTACTAGTAGTTTTCACGTGCACGCTTAGTGACCATGTGCGAGCGTGCTTACTAAATCCGGCTGTACCACCCAGTGGCGTAACTATGGGGTAGCGAGGGGAAGCGGTCGCGACCTCCAAAATTATTATGGGGTCGCAAGAGTATCATTTTGCTACCCCAAAAGTATTTATATAATTTGATAAAAAAAAATCGTTGTATTATAGATCGTAGCATATCATGAAAAAAAAATTAGTTATGAATTTTCATGTCACCGAGTAACTGATAAGTGATAAGTGATAACAGTATAACTACAAAATATAACCCAGACAGTCGTGGTAGCACTGGTAGCACAGAACAATTGATAACATGAACATTTTTATGTTATCTCATTATCTGTATTCTATGATAATTCAAAAACATTACAATAACGACTAACGAGAAAATGGTTTATCCTTGTTAACATTTTAAATTGTTATTTGTTTTATCATTTTGAATTTTGATTTGTTATTATTATTTGTAGTACTGTTGTAGCGTGGACTGTGGTTTTACTTCAAAACTTTTTATCATTTTTATTGACTTGACAAATCTTAGTATTTCGTCAAAATGAGCTTATTAAAATGGCTTTCTGGCTCTAAAACAAAAGCCAACAGGGATCACAGTACTGAAAGTACAGGTAGTTCATACTGTTACGTGCCACCGGCTCGATTTCAAGTGTTGCGAGTCGAAGATGTGTTTAATTTAAATAGACATGAGACTTTTAATACATTAATACATTTATTTTAATACTCAAAGTGTTTAACAAAATTCTAATACAAAGTGACGCGGAGTAGCTTGTTGTTCCGTGACTAGAACTCATCTGAATTGTGGTCATTTTGATCCCTCTTTTATATGGATTGATTGACGTCATTGGTCTTGTTGTTTCGGCATAACTCCTTATTTAGCAATAGGCCACGTTCGTTTGACCTACTTATCATTTTATAGATTACATCTTTTAATATATATTACTGGTCTTATTAAATGTAGGTGTTTCTAGGAATATATATTAATCTTTTAAAATATACATTGTTATTATTGGTTTATGGCCAACCTATTAAATGTAGGTGTTTCTCAGAATATATATTAATCTCATAATATTTTAAATTAATAGATAGTCTATGATCAAATATGGGTGTGTAACACCTGTGATATTGTGTTACGCACAATTCTATTTATACATGTTTTTGTGGTAGCCCATAACAATACAATCCACGAACACGATTTAAATCGGAATTAACGCAATCATCACTACTACCAGATTCAGATCCAGGTAAATAGTTATAAAAATTGTCTTTTGTGTGATGTTATTTTTAAAATATAAACTGTGTTGTAGTTTTGATTAGATATAAACTATAAAATAATGTAAAAACTAAATTAACTTTATTAACTTATTAATTGAATAAAATGATAAAATGTTCTAGATTCTCAACAATAATTAATTTCAACACATATTTGTTTTTTAGAATGTGCTTCATATTCTGGATGTAGTGTCATACATGAAGACGATCTAACATCAGACATTAAAGGAGCTTATGAAAAAGTACTACAAAATAAAGGACCATTTCAACCAAAGGATATCAAGTTTGAAGTGAACAAAAACCGATCATTTCTTATCTCTTGGTATGATTTATATCCATGGTTAGACTACAGTCCTACTAGTCAGGCAGCTTACTGTTATTCATGTAGAGCGTTTCCAAGTCTAACTAACAAAGCATGTAGGGGTCAACATACTGAACCAGCATTTGTTAATGTTGGCTTTAAAAACTGGCCTAAAGCTATAAGAAGTTTTAATAAACATCAATCTAGTATTCCTCACAAAGATTCTACAGTAAAAATAGCTGGACTGAAATCAACTGTAATTGTTGGTGATGTGACCGTCCAAGTAAACAAACAATATAGCATAGAAGTTGAAAATAATAGATTATATTTTAATTGCCTGTTAGATAGCTTATTGTACTGTTGTCGACAAGGTATTGCCATTAGGGGTCATCGGGAAGATGATAACTCTTTAAATAAAGGTAATTTCTTGGAACTTATGGAATTAAGAGCTAAAGATAATACTATTATTAAACAATACTTTATTGAAAAAGAAAAAAGTTGTAGATATGTAAATCCTTCATACTTAAATATGTTTATAGAGTACATGGGGAAAGATGTTTTACAATCAATAATTAGAGATATCCAGGATTCCAAATTTTTTAGTATTATGGTTGATGAAACACAGGACTTGGCTAAGCAAGTGGCCATATGTATTCGATATGTTTCAAAACTATTTATTACCCATGAAGTTTTCTTGGGCTTTTATCGCACCGATAAAACTGATGGTGAAACGTTAGTAAATCTTATAAAACAGTTTTTACAAACAAATAATTTAAGTATTCAAAACATCAGAGGACAGTGTTACGATGGTGCTGCATCTATGCGAGGTTCATATACAGGTGTCCAAGCTAGAATCCGATCGGAAAATAAATTTGCTATTTATGTGCATTGTTATGCACATATTTTAAATTTATGTCTTGTAGACCTTTCGAAACAATCATCATTTGTAAGAAATACATTTGGAACTCTACAAACTTTATATTCATTTATGGGTGCATCATCAAAGAGAAATAGTGTTTTTGAAAAAATATTATCAACAAGTTCAATAAATGTGTCCCAAAAAACTAAATTAAAATCTTTAAGCGATACAAGGTGGAACTGTCGCATTGAAGCAATCAATTCAGTTATTAACACTTTGCCTGTTATTGTTCAAACACTACAAAATATTTCTGATAATGATGTGAATTATGGATCAGAAGCAAACAATGTGTTGAATTGCATACTTCATTTTGAATTTATATTTTGTTTGTTTTTATTAAAAACTGTGCTTGAACAAACAAACATAATCTCTAAATATTTACAGTCACCATCAATAAACTATGCACTTGTTAAGGAAATGTCAATCAAAACTTACCACTCATTGCAAGACTTACGTTCAGATGAAAGTTTCATTAAATGTTGGGAATCCTCGCAAGATTTGGTAAAAAATAATGGATTTCTACCACCAAAACTTCCTCGTAATAGAAAGATTTCCTATAAAAAACTTGGAGGTGGTCATGTTTTTCCAGAGTTTCATGATGAAAAGTCCTATTACCGGATCTCCATTTATTTTCCAGTTTTGGATATTGTCATGAAAGAAATCAAAGATAGATTCAACGAAAATTATCTTTCCATATTAAACTCACTGATGGAAACACTGACAAATGAAAGCCTTAGTCAATCTTCAATTCAAGAAGTGTGCAAATTCTATGGACCAAATGAAGATGACTTAACTGCTGAATTAAAAATATTTAACAAAATGTTTAAAGGCTATGGCAAAGAAAATAACATTGAAAATAGAATATTATATTTGAAAAACAAAGATATTCAAAATGGTTTCCCAATTATAGTTGAATTGTTACAAATTTTTTTAACCATTCCCACTAGAAGCGTATCATGTGAAAGGTCATTTTCTTGTTTAAAAAAGCTAAAAAACTACTTGAGAACTACTATCGGTCAAGAACGTCTTTCTAACATGGCTATATTATACATCGAAAGACAAAGAGAAGTAAACAACGAACAAATAATCAATCTTTTTAATAAGAACAAAAACCGAAAAATAGATTTAAAATAGTAATTATTTTTAGTAATTTTTGTATTGTAAGAGTTCCTATAATATTTATTTAAACTAGTCACTAAAACTGAAATGTGATATGATAAATACAATTTATAAATAAATTATAATGTAATTTTTTTTATTAGCCCACATAGCCCCCTATTTGTGCTAATGGAAAAAGGTTAAAAATGTATAAAAGTCTTCGCTACCCCAAAAATTTGCTGCTAGTTACGCCACTGGTGCGAGTGCTCGCTCATATTACACGTAAGTATCAAATTTGTTTTGTATAATTGTATTGTTTTCAGTGGCGGCTCGTGTATATGTGCCTACCCCAGCTTCCTACCTGATTTACCTACCTTTAAAGTGTATATTTTTATAATTTTTATTGTACGTAGGTATGTCTATGTAGTTTGTCAGTATGTGATGTGTATTTATGAACTGAAAACATTAGTGAAGCCAGCATTTTTCTAGTGTTTAGTTTTTTGAAATATTTAAAAGTTAAAACCCTATAAAAGTAATTTTTGTTACGTATGCGCACAATGTACGCAACTTTTAACTTATCACCTTTGGGATAGCAGATAGGTGATTATGCCGAGTCTGAACCATAGACGTCACTTGGTTATTCTAGATATTAAGATATCCCAATATCACCTTAAATAATATTTTTTATTAAATTCGATTTTGAAAAAAATCGTTTTTAGTAGTTCTGACTACAGTACTTTAGCATTTAATAATTATCTGAAAAACATTTATCTTGTGTGCTCTTTTAAGATTAAGTGATAAAATATAAAAATATAAATATAGAAATTCATAAAATGGAAATAATACAGTGTATAAGTCAAAAAGTGTTAAAATAAGTCAAAACACGCGACCCGCGTTAAAATGGAATTGATGTGCACATAACCAATTAAATTGTTTTCAGCAAATTATTTTCAACCTCGCGGTCGTCGGCGACGGTCGGCATTAAAATTTATTTTTACTTTCACATTTACCTAAGTATAAATTATCTGTTATTTAACAGTACAATGGAAGATCATTCGAATAACAATAAGAGAAAACCTAAAGGTGGTGCCGAAAAAAATAGAGAAAAAAAACAAAAAAAACTACAAAAAGAGGCAGACAGTTGTTTTAAAATTAAAGATATGTTTCAAAAATCTGTTACTACAATAAATGCATTAAATGAAAATAGTAATGAGGATTTGCCAAAGCTTATAGAAATAGATAAGGACCAACATAATCTTAAGACAAATGAAACAAATTTTTTAAATACACTAAACAAGATGGATGTTACAGCTGTTAAAAATATAAAAAGAATAAAAGTGGATTCTCAAAGTTTAGATGTCAATAACAAAGTAGTATCTGATGACATTAGTAATAGTACAACTAAAATAGACTTTTATAAAAAAACCTTCTAAGGAATTAATTCACCAATTTTTAAATTATCACCCTTGTCAACCCAATGATATTGATTATAATACGGATAAAGTATATTTTACAAACAAGAAAACGGGAGATACTAGAAAATGGATAAGTTATTGTCTTGAACGTAAATCATTTTTTTGTTGGATTTGTATAGGATTTGGGTTAAAAGATGATCAAAGTATTTTTGTAACTGGTTATAGTGGTGGAACTAAGCATTTTTATGACAGAATTAAAGAACATGAAATGAGCAAAACCCATATTAACAATTTAGAATCATTTTTGAAATTTGACAGTAATAAAGATATCATAAGTTATTTCATTAAAGCAAGAGAAATATAACTCAGAGAAATACAAAATAATAGAAATATTTTGGAACGTATTATTGAGACAATCAAAATGATAGGCAAGAGGGGTCTTAGTTACCGTGGTGCTAATGAAGCAGCGTATACTTTAGATCAGCGTTTCCCAAACTTTTTCTCTGCCGGACCCCTTAGAGAAAATAAAAAAGATCGCGGACCCCTAAATAAAAATTTAAATTAAAGCAATAATAAATAATAATACTAAATTGTTTGCTTTATTTTTAAAATTAAATACACATATGTTTATAATGAAAAATTGAATTAATAAAAAAAAATGGATAAATAGATATATTATTTTTATAATAAATAATTAATGCGTTTAATGTGATGGATGGTGTTGTTTCTTTAATACTAAATCTGGTATTTTAGGATCTATATTAGAAAGTTGAATACGTAAATCTGATTCTATATTTAATCGATTTCTATATTTATTTTTAGTGTATACATAAGCTGAAAATCCTTTTTCACAGAGATAAGTTGTTGAAAAAAGCATCAATGGCCTTAGTGCTGAGTCCGATATTTCTGGATAGTCTTGTCTTCTATACGTATAATCTAATCTTAATTGCTTTTCAACGATAACTATTTCAACAATGTATTTATTATCAACAGTATTTCCCATGTAATACGAATATTGCATCATTATTTTCGTTTTATGGATAGGTATACTTTGTAAATTTTTAATTTACGTTCGCGGACCCCCTCCGGTATACGTGCGGACCCCTAGGGGTCCGCGGACCACAGTTTGGGAAACGCTGCTTTAGATAATGATGCATTAGATCATGGAAATTTACTCGAAATATTAATATTAATTTCAAAATTTGATCCTGTACTAAACAACCACGTGCAAAAATGCATCGATAAGAGTAAAAAAATACATGAAAAACAAAATAGCAAAGGACGAGGCAATCTTGTTAGTTTTTTGTCAAAAACGACTGCCAATGTAATAATCGAAGGAATAACTAAACTAATAAAACAGAAAATATCTGAGGAAATTAAACATGCACATTTTTTTACAATACAAATTGATACCACGCATATCAATATAGTAGACCAGTGTTCCATTGTAGTTAGATACGTAAATAATCAAGTTCATGAACGAGTTGTAAGCATTGTTAATTGTAAATCAGGCAAAGGTAAAGATATGCATGAACTTGTTTCAAACGAGTTAAAAAAATTAAGTATAGATATAACAAAATGTATTGGGAACTCAACTGATGGTGCAGCTAACATGCAAGGACAATATAAAGGATTCACTAAGTGGTTAACTGATGATTCACCCAAACAAATTCATGTTTGGTGCTATGCACACGTACTAAATTTAGTTGTATCGGATGTAACACAGAAAACTAATGAATCTATTTCTCTTTTTAATTGTTTAAACAAAGTTGCAGGATTCGTTCGTGAATCGTATTTACGAATGAATTTTTGGAGAGATACAACAGAAGGTAAAAATATTAGTTTTATAAGTACGTTAAGTGAAACAAGATGGTGGTCCAAAGAAAAATCGTTAAGGAAAATTTTTGGATCTTTAAATGACTCTCAAAACGCAATCTTTGTTCAAATATGCCAAACGTTGTTTAATATTTCGACATCAGAAAGAATGAATTCTGATACACGGTTTAATGCTAATGTGTACTTACAAATGTTATTAAAATTTGATACAATAATAACAGCACAATTATTTCTTCTTATTTTTAAAAGTACCACTCCATTATCTAATTATTTACAAACTTCAGGAATTGATTTGCTACAATCTTACAAAATGGTAGAAAACACAATAATAACATTAAAAGATGTAAGTAGAAAATTTATTGATGTGTACGAAAAAGCTAAACATTTTTCGTCTGCTATGAACGTGATATTTGAAAACGAGGATACATCATTCAGAGTTGAAGATGATTTTAAAGAAATTAGAATTAGAAGAAACCCAAAGTTTCACGACGAAATTATCAATGATACCCCTTATGATTGTTCCAAAAAAAAATATGAAATTAATGTTTATAACATAACTTTGGATACTGTTATTGAGAGTTTAGAAAATAGATTTTCAAAGCATAAAGAAATGTACGTAGACTTTGAATGGCTACATCCTACTAATTTTAAATTAATATCAAATTTACCTGAAAATTCCATGAATAAAATAGCTGAGCTTTTGACAGACTTTTCACCAAATATCGATAAACAAATATTACAAGATCAATTAATAGACTTTGCAGGAAAATGGGATTCACTTTCAAAAACATTACTTGATGAATATAATTGTATGACATTGGATCTAGAAAAGGACGAGGAAGACGAGGAATCTGAGTTAGTCAAAGAACACCGTGTACATAAAAAGACGTGTAAAGATTGTATATTTTGCTGTTACCAAATTTTATGTAAGTATAATTTGTATGCTACAGCATATTCAGAACTGTTTTTGGCATACAAGTTTTTGCTAACATTATCTATTACTCAAGTTCAATGTGAAAGAACATTTTCAAAATTAAAATATATTTTAAACCGATTAAGGAGTAATTTAAGTCAAGAACGTGTGGAAGAATTTATTATAATGTCGTGTGAGAAAGATATATTATATTCTTTACAAAATGCAGATATAATTGAATATGTTGCACAAAGCAGTGACTTGATGAAAAAATTACTTATTGGATAAATTTATTAATAATTAATGTATAATAATGTATAATATAATAGAGCCTATAAGTAATATGATTTGTCTTTTGAGTATACTTAGTACCTACAATAAGTATTTATTATTATTATTATTACATTTAAAAATGGTGTATAATTTAAGTGTATTTGAAAATAGAAAAAAACTTAAAATAAGTACTATTATAACCTACGGGTTTTATTTAATTATTATTATAGATAGAACTATATGTCTATATATATATATATATGTATGTATAATATTTTATTTTAAATAAATGGTTGACAGTTATCGTTTAATTAATGTAATAAGTTCAATTTATGAATAATAATGGAGATTTGGAATCTTCCAGACCCATTTTCTCTATTGCAATATGAATGTAAAATAATTTCACTTTGGTAGGGCCGGTAAAATTGTTCAGCCCGGGCCGGTTTGAAGAGCCAGTCCAACCCTGGGTAACACATTAATTATTTAACGACGTAGCACGTTGAACGTAATCTTGAGACGTGTTGAGAGAGATAGGTAATATTAATAATTGAACACTCTTAATTAAATACTTAGAAAAATTACTGGTTTATTATCAGTGGCGTGGCGAAGGGCTATATTTGAGGCACGTGCCTCAGTTTGAGGGGAGGTAGGTGTCCTATCTCACAAGGGACTTGGGCCCTATCTCACACTAAGAAAAGATTTGCTAAGTTACCATACATTCATTTTAATTATCGTAATTATAATATTGGAT